CTTGCTGAAGTCTAGTTTTTCCATTAAAATGTCGGGAAAAGCCTTTTCCTCCCCTCTCAGGGGGAGGGGGCTCTGATTCCACCGTGGGCTTGTTGCACTACTCAAAAACTAGATTTATTTTTGCTATCGGTATGATGCTGGAGATGTTGGTGGCCCTCCAGAAGCTGCTTCTTTGGGAAGTCCCACACAGCACCTGGCTTGCATCTCCATTTCCCAAATATTTTTTGTTAAAAGCAGGGCTCAAAGCAGAACAGAAGGGGGAAAAAAAAAAAAAAAAAGGAAAAAAATTTATAAGAGGGTGAATCTGTGCTTTCCTCAGACCTTGTGCCTTTGTCCCCACGACTCAGACCCAGGCAGGACTGGAGATTTTTATTCCTTCTTGCTTTTTCTGCCCCAAAAATCACTCAGGAAATGTCAAACAAGCCATCTGGGGTCGGCATTCAGGGTCTGTCCCCCCCCCCAAAATTGGCATTGGGTACCCCCGGCCCTTCCCAGCACAGATCAGGGTTTTCACTGGAGGGAGCTCAGGAGTCGGAAAACTAAAGTGAAAATAACTAAATAACTCCACTTTCCTGTTAAAGATGATTTTTTTTAAAAAAAAAAAAAAAAAGAATATATATATGAAAAGGAAGAAGGTGGTGTCAATGGCTTTGGAACAAGCAGGTGTGCACCATGTGCAGCATCCCCAGGTGGGATGGGGGGGAGATAATCTTTGTCATATTTTGGCAGAAGTGACAGCGGGCTTCTGCTGTGTCTGCCGGGGTGGCTGAAGAAAGAGAGATAGATATAGATATATATATATATTCCCTGCTGGTTTTTTGGGGTGGGGGGGGCTCATCGGGGGCTTCCGCGGTACAAAAACCCCACAAAATTGTCCTTTTGGCTCTTTTCTCTCGGGATTTTTATTTTCAGTGGAGAAAAATGGTGCGTTGTGGGGTGCTGGTTGGTTTGGTTTTGTTTTTTTTTTTTTCCTTTTGGTTTTCGATTGGGTGGGTGGTTGGGTGTTTGGGTTTTTTTTTCCCCCCCTTCTGGTTTGGGAGTGTTTTGGAATTTTTATACTTTAAAAAAAAGATAAACTTTGTCATATTTTGGCAGAAGTGACAGCAGGCTTCCGCTGTGTCTGCCGGGGTGGCTGGCCCTGAAGAAAGAGAGAGAGATATATATATATTCCCCCCCCAGCCCCCCGCCCTCTATTTTTTTCCCTTTTTTATTATTTTTTAACTCGTTTCCAGCCACCTCCCAACCCTTGGACTTCTCCTCCCGATCCTTGAGTCTCGCTGGTCCCGAGGAAACTCCTCTTTGGGGTGGGTGACACCCCCCCTCCTTGTAAATCCAGCCCAGAGAGTGTCCCCTCCTCTCCCCCCCCCACTGGCTCCTACAGCGTGTATATGTATGTATATAGGAACCTCTTAATTGGGCACTAATTAATTGGAGGCTGCTCCCCCCCTCCCCTCTCCAGCCTGACCCCTGACTTGTCACTCGGTGGGAGATGGGGAAGGGCTTGGGGGGGGGACACACTTGTCACCGTGGCCCCCGTGGGGCCACCGGCACCCGGCCCGGGAGGGGGGGGGCGATGCCCTATCGAGTGAATTGGGTTTTTTTTTTTTTTTTTTTGGTTGTTTTTTTTTTTTTTTTTTTTTTTTTGGGGTTTTTTTTGTGTTGTCTTTTAATTGGGTGAATTGGGTTTTTTTTTTGTTTTTTTGGGTTGTTTTTTTTTTTTTTTTTGTCTTCTTGGAGCTTTTTCTCAGCTGTCTTCCAAGTATTATTTTTATTGTTTAAAAAAAAAAAACAAACAAATAAATAAAAAAAAAGAAGGTTTAAAAGAAAAAAAAAAGGGTAAAAAAATAAATAAAATAAAAATGTGAAATGTAATTTTTACAGCAGCAATATGAAATATATTTTATAAGAAATAAAAAGAAAAGTTGCCTGGTAGCTGCCTGGCTCTGCCTTGTCCTTGTAGCCCCTGTCCCGGGGGTGTCTCCCCCTCCCCAAGGGACCCCCAGTGTCCCCTG